GCTTCTGGACAGAAGACACAGCTTGCTTCTTTGCCACAAATAATTGAGGAAGAGAAAACATGTAAATATTGTTCACAAATGGGCAACTGTGCCCTTTACAGCAGGTAAATATTGTCTACCAAAAGCATTATTTCAATTTGAGTATGAATTCAATATTTAACATTGGTTACATGTTAAATCTGGTCTGGCGATTTTAGTTATTTTTCTTTTAGATTTTCCTTTCTGTGTAGTGTTTCTAAAATGAAGGGAATAGAAGAAGAAACAGTTTATGTTTTCTTTTTAGAGACAAGGTCTTGCTCTTGCTCAGGCTGGTCTCAAACTCCTGAGCTTAAACAATCCTCCTTTCTCGGCCTCCCAGAGTGCTAGGATTACAGGCGAGAGCCACCGCGCCCGGCCTTGTATTTTCTAACAAGCTCATTTCCTTAGGAAATAATAGAGTGCTTTTAAAACTTTTTTCCAGGGCCAGATGCAGTGGCTCAGGAGTTTGAGATCATGCCACTGCACTCTAGCCTGGGTGACAGAACGAGAGCCATCTCTTACCAAAAAACAAAAACTTTTTCCAAAAGTGGAATTTTAATCTTGCTGCATCTGGTTTCTGTAAAGTGAAATAATTTTAGGACTGTGGAATCTGGTTAAGAAAGATATTAATAAAAGACACTTTGGGCATCTCAATTCTGAAAACTGAAAATCCAAAATGCTCCAAAATGTGCAAATTTTTGAGCACCAACATGATGCTCAAAAGAAATGCTCATTGGAGCATTTCAGATTTCAGATTTTTGTATTAGGGATTCTCAACCACTATGCTGCAAATATACCAAAATCTGAAACATTTCTAGTCCCAAGCATTTCAGATAAGGGATACTCAACCTGTATAGGCATTTTGAATTCAAATTTTCTTAAATGATACTTCAAAACATCTTCCATTTCTTAGCTGGTATTTTAATTTCAGGCCTTTTGTAGTTAGATACAGGGAAATTGGTTTTTCCAGTTAGACACTTTGATATGACCCAGTGAATGGGCCTGTCCTATGTATGTGTGGCTAGTTTTCTACAAATGGAAATTTTATTAGCTGTCATGAACAACTGTATGTATTTATACCTTCATAGGCCAGTGAAAGTTCTGAAGGGCACAAAAAGTAGTTAGATGTAAATACAGACTAGGAAACAAGGTCAAATCTGAGCCAAAGTTCTAATTTGGTCTGAAAATTCATATAAAGTACTTTTTTTTTGTTTGTTTGAGTGAAATGGAGTCTTATTCTGTTGCCTAGGCTAAAGTGCAGTGGCATCATCATAGCTCACTGCAGCCTGAAACTCCTGGGCTCAAGTAATCCCCCTGCCTCAGCCTTCTGCGTAGCTAGGACTATAGGCGCAAACCATTATGCCTGGCTAATTTTTCTATTTTTTGTAGAGACAGGGTCTTGTTATGTTGCTCAAGCTGGTCTTGAACTCCTGGCCTCAAGCGATCCTCCCACTTCAGGCTCCCAAAGTTTTGGGATTACTAGCATAAGCCAGCACACCTGACCCACATAAAGTACTTTTAAAGTATTCTTTCAAAGGATCTCTTAATTGTAGAGGACTGTGAACCATGTCTTGGCTTGTAGCTCATTTCTTTGAAATCTTAATGTTTTATTTTCATTGTTTGCTCTTCTATAACATGTTTGTTTCTATATTAAAATGTTTTAAGTTAGTATTAACCAAAATCTAAATGATTTTCCATGTTTTTATGTTTTTTTCCTTATGTCACTTAGCTGGGTGTATTAATTTTTGTGATTTTGAGAAATACTGTTGTAGAAAAAGCCAAAACTTGCAGCATATGGGAATGAAGACTAGAGTATATGAAACCGAACTTAAGTTGTTTAGGGTATCGTCAATTGAAGACAAAATAATGATCTTACACATTTTGTTTTGTAAAAAACTATGTGGTTTGTAAAATATTTAAGGAAAAATAGATGCTGTAGTTGTACGTTATGATGATTATATATGTGTACTTATTTTAGAGATACCTAATTTTATAGCCAGCCAGTGAAATGGTTTATAAACATTTAACTTGGAACTTTATATTTAGAGCAGTTGAACAACACATGGATGACAGTTCAGTCCCAATTGTCATGCTGCCCAAAGTAAAAGAAGAAACCCAGCATCTGAAGCTTACACACTTAGAGTATTTCAGGCTTTGGTGCCTAATGTTAACACTGGAGTCACAATCAAAGGATAACAGAAAAAATCACCAAAATATCTGGTTAATGCCTGCTTCAAAAATGTAAGTGGCCTATTTAATACAGGAAAATTTCAGTATTTTGTCTTAGCTAGTGTGATGGAATTTGGAATGCTACAAATACAGGTTATGTAGCATGTTAAAGATTTGTGATTTCATTTATTCATGACAACTCCACATGGTTGTCAATGAATTGTTTCCAAGTAGAGCACCATTTCTACGAATGCTATGCGCTGCAATCATTGTTAGTTTATATATTTTCTATAAGTTAAATATTCCTTAAGAAGTCTTATTTTATTTTATTTTTTTTTTTTGAGACAGAGTCTCGCTTTTTGTTGCCCGGGCTAGAGTGAGTGCCGTGGCGTCAGCCTGGCTCACAGCAACCTCAAACTCCTGGGCTCAAGCGATCCTTCTGCCTCAGCCTCCCGAGTAGCTGGGACTACAGGCATGTGCCACCATGCCTGGCTAATTTTTTTTTTCTATATATTTTTAGTTGTCCAGATAATTTCTTTCTATTGTTAGTAGAGACGGGGTCTCGCTCTTGCTCAGGCTGGTTTCGAACTCCTGAGCTCAAACAATCCACCCCCCTCGGCCTCCCAGAGTGAAGAAGTCTTATTTTAAAAATGATTAGTAAATCCTTATTAGTCAGTGATAACATTATAAAATGAGTGAATTGTTGCATTCCTGTAGAATGCAGATTAACGATGTTTTACTTAATTTTTTAAATACTAGTATTTTTTAAAAAAAAAACAAATGAATTTTAATACAGTAAACGAAGACAGCATGTTGCAAATTTATCGTTCAAAGGGGTCTCTCTCTCTCAGGAAATTAGCGTGTTAACACTTTGAGAGATGAAATATTACAGCTTGTACACCAAAATTAAAAAATGAAATGAAATTAAAAAATGAAATGATTGCCAAGATAATGCAGGTCAGGAGATCAAAGGTGAAGAAATTATTAAAAAGAAACATTATTAAAAAGAAATCCAAAAGGATGGAAGAATGGCTGCATCATGATCTCTCATTAGCATTCCAGTGGTGCCTCTCTGTTGGTAAACTTGAACGTTTCGGCAGACGTTCAAGCAGCTTTTTCAGTAAAAAGATTTTTACATGACTATGCTTTTCTCTTGATTATCTTCTGGCTTGTTTTCAGCAGCCATTTCCCCTCTGAGGGCCACATCCTCGTCCTCCTCATGACTGGGACTCTAAGTGCACCAGTATTAGTATTTTAAAAGTTTATATTTTCAGTAAGTGTTTGATGGAGATTCAAATTTTCTAAAGGTCAATTTCATTGTCTTTGTAGAACCCTTTTTTTGTTTTTGAGACAGAGTCTGCTCTGTTGCCCCGGATAGTAAAGTACAGAGGTGTCATCATAGCACGTTGCAGCCTCAAAGTCCTGTGTTCATGTGATCCCTCTCCGTCAGCCTCCTGAATAGCTGGGACTATAAAGCACCTGCCAGGATGCCTGGCTAATTTTTCTATTTTCAGTAGAGACAGGATTTTGCTCTTGCTCAGTCTGAACTCCTGAGCTCAAGCAGTCCTCCCTCCTTGGCCTCCCAGAAGGATTAGGATTACAGGTATGAGCCACCTCTCCTGGCCTTATTTTTTTCACATCACATTTAGGAGAAGGTTACTATGATTTATCTTTTGTAGTGTTATGTGGGTCAGCCCAGGAGGTGGGGAATCATTCCAGGATCAAAGTGCCAATAAAGCACCTTGTTCGGAGATGGCAGCCTGTGGGTACAAGTAGGAGAGTGTTCCCTACTTTTCTGTAAGTCTGTTGTTGAGAGATTAGTTAAAAATTTATAGAGAGAATGTTTATTTAGCATTTCAAACGCTTCACTGTAAATGTGGAAAACGTGAAAATGGCAGACTCAATATTAGCATTAGTTTTTAGGGATCAGATGGACAATTAAATTGTGTGAAAATACAAATACAAAATACTTACATATGTGATGTAAATGGAAATTTTCTCTCTTTGTCCTTCTTCTTCTTAGGGAGGAGAGTGGCAACTGCATTGGAAACCTGATTAGAACAAAGCATGTAAAGACAGTTGGTGATGGACAGTATTTACATAATTTCCTACGTAAAAATGGTACCATACCTGTCACAAATCTAATGGCAGGTGACAGAATTATTTTAAGTGGAGAAGAGAGAACACTGTTTGCTTTGTCCCGGGGATATGTGAAGGAGATTAACATGACAACAGTAACCTGTTTATTAGACAGGTAATGAAACATTACTCTTTTTGGTAATAGCTTTATCCATACATAATTGACATAACATACAGTTAATCCATTTAAAGTGTACAATTCAGCGGTTTTTAGTATATCCACAGAATTGTGCAGCCATCACCACAGTCGATTTTAGAGCGTTTTCATCACCCTAAAAAGAAACCCTGTATCCCTTAGCAGTCACTTCTCATTTCTTTCCAACTCCCCCAGCCCAAGGCAACCACTAATCTACTTTTTGTTTCTATAGATTTGCCTATTCTGAACATTTTGTATAAATGGAATCATATAATATGTGGTCTTTGGGGATTTGTTTTTTTCACTTAGCATACTGTTTTTGAGGTTCATTTTCATGTTGTAGCACGTATCGGTACTTTATTCCTTTTTTTTAATGTTGAGATAAAATTCACATAACATAAAATTGACCATTAATCATTTTAACGTATATAATTCACTGGCATTTCATACACAGTGGCATCAGTTTAAACACTTAGATTGAAAAAATCTGTACCTCATTTCTTTTTATGGCTAATGATTGTATACTGTTGTATAGATGGACCATATTTTGCTCATCCATCGCTAGCTGATGGATGTTTGAGTTGTTTCCACTTTTTTGCCATTATGAATAATGTTGCTCTGAACATTCACATACAAATTTTTATGTGGACCTATTTTCATTTTCCTTTGTAGTTACCTAGGTGTGGAGTAGCTGGGTCATTTGCTAATTTTGTGTTTAACACTTTGAGGAACTACCAAACTGCTAAACTTTTGTTTACTAGTAGTGTATTAGTACATAGTTACATAATACTATGTGGCCATAATCTTATGTAATTCTCACAACCACATGTGTAGGAGGCAGCATAGATACTACCCTGTGTTAGCTATAAGGTTTATTTCTCCTTAGTACTCTGGGCACTCATCATTTTGTTTCCTACTAAAAAAGAAAATGTTTTTTTCCATTTATATTAGAATAGTTGATATGAAAATCTGTGGCAGAGACCAATGCCCGTATTCACTAATATCCATATTGCTCTTCTTTGACATTCAGCTAGGCTACATTGCCCAGCCTTCCTTGCAGGCATGCCTCACCATTTTTTAATGGATGGAGGTCAGCAATTGAGACTTAGTGACCATAATGGTGAGTCTGAGTAATCATAATGTCCAGGCTTGTTTCCTACCAACTAGTAGTTCTAGTTGAGTCATAACCAACCATAGTCTGGGTCTCATGATATGGGATTATGAGATACAATATTCCTGTCATCTGTTAGGATTCCCTGCAGTCCCTTGCAGTATTTATTTAGTGCCCAGCATGTATTAGGTACTTTGCAAATCCTTGAGGAATTTATGATCTTGTGGGTAGACACTTATGCACATTTTCAGTGTAATACGATGTATTCAAATTGATGGGAATGCAAAGGAGAGGCATTTAACCCAATTTTAGGAAACTCAGGGAAGGCTTTTTGAAAGAGCCAATTCTGGATCTTCATCCTGTGGATTAATAAATCAGCCTTGTGAAGCAGTGTGAGATGAGTATGCCAGACCAAGTGAGCATGTTGTGCAAAGGCACGATGGCGTGATACAGTATGGAGCATTCAGGAAAGTGCAAGTAATTAAGTATATCTGGAATGTAAAATACAAGGATGGGATGATTGGAGAGGTCAGTTCATAGAAGGTCTTACATACCATGTTAAGAAGTTTTGATTTTATTTATTCAGATGTACTGAAGGGTTTTAAACAGAAGAATGTATATAGTACTTAGATTTGCATTTTTTCTGTGGATACCTTATGAAGAATTGAATTAATTAATGGAGGCAAAACTGAAAGCCGAGAACAGAAAGCTGTTGTAGTGGCCCAGGATAAAGGCGATGGAAGCAAGGTGGTGTTGGCAGAGAGGACAGAATGACTTTGATAAGCATTTAGAAAATCAAATTAGCTGGTATTTGGATACTGATTGGATGTGTGGGTTGGGAAGAAGGTGAGGGAGAGGGAAGAATCAAGACAGCAGAGTAGATCCTGAAGCTTAGATGAGGAACCACGTTGGGGAGGAATGTGAGGTCAGGCCTGCAGACGAAGATTTGGGATTTGGAGCCACATGAGGGCCTGGGACCATAGGGAAAGTGAGAAAGAGGGAAGGCTTAGTACAGTGGACCAGGGGAGGGACTAGGGAACACTAGGGCTTAAGGGGCAGGTAGAGGAGTGGGAGAAGGCAGTAGGAAAGAGATCTATACTCCAGTCTGGAGGAGGGAGTAGGGGAGGAGCCATGTGCTCA